CTTGTGGACTTGATACACAGACTGAAAAAAAGAGAAAACCCACACCAGAAACCATAAATGTCTCAGAACTCTGCCAAAATACCAAGGAGTGACTGAAGAGAGGCTGGAACAGCTGGCATGAATACTGTCACCCATCTTAACACCAGCTTTTTTCTAGCTATCCTCACGATGATGGAAACAAGAGGATGCTACAAAATTTTTGGACAAATTGATCCCAGAAATTTTAGACAGATGTTAGTCACACTCCAAAATGCATTCAGATACCAATGTGCAAACGTGGTAAAAACCTCTATAGAACAGAAATAGAAGACTAAAAACCCAAATACTGCATAACAAATGTATTCACTCTACCCCTGAGTGGGAAACAAGGCAATAACAATAAAGAATTATCACAGTTACACTATCCAACTCACAAGATTGAAACTGGCAGTTAAAAATAATATGAGAAAACTCTCAACTTTCCAGATCTCAATCCTATAGCCCAGGGGAAAAGATGGGAGATAAATGTGATTAAAGAATTTCAGTTGAATGGATCTGTCCTTTAGCCAGCTAAATTCCAGATAACATAGGAATCACAAAAAGAACAGGAGTACTTGTGGCACCTTAGAGACTAACAAATTTATTAGAGCATAAGCTTTCGTGGGCTACAACCCATTTCTTCGGATGCATCCTAATCTAATAAATAATCTAATAAATTTGTTAGTCTCTAAGGTGCCACAAGTACTCCTGTTCTTTTTGCGGATACAGACTAACACGGCTGCTACTCTGAAACCTGTCATAGGAATCACACTTACTGTTTGCCTTTGGGATACGGAAGCAATATACAACTTTCTGGGTAAAGCTGAAACTAGGACAGGGACATGTAATAGAAAGCAAAGACATGGAAGACTGTCCTATTATAAATGAAATCTGCTCACTACAATACTATATAGGCTAAGTCAAGCACAACTGGGAATAAGTGTCAACTTTTTTTCATGGCATTTTAACACATAAGAACCCGATTCAGCAAATTCCTTAAACATGATGATGCACTTAAATTTAATCACAAATAATCCACTGAATTCAGTGAGACTACTCAAATGCTTAAAGTCAGACACATACTTAATATCATGCAGAACCAGCACCTATGACCTTGATCTTGCATCATTACAGTCAATGCAAGCTTTTGCCATCAGCTTCAGTAAGCACAAGATCAAGGCCTTTATTACCATTTTCTTCTCCTCCAAAGAGCTCATAATATTGATATGCACTATAAATTGTTTACACTTAGAATGTTGACGATATTTGTTTAGCTGCTTGTTGACACAAATACATGCACAGAGGTTATGTTAGATACCTATTTTAAACTGTAGAATCCATGAAAAACATTAAACGTTCATATAACTAGAGCCACTGTTATGAATACATTGCTGTAGAATAAATTATTTCATAAATCTGAAAATTAGCTGCATACTTATACCGTCTAAACCTTATTTCTTAATTCTGTACTTTGTACCTTTCCTATTTACCTATGTTCTCACATTTTTATGTAGCTCAATATAGAAAAAATAAGGGCCTGAATTTTCTTGTTCTCAGTCATTAATGGTGACCTCACAATCTGTAAGCATACCAGCAGTTTTGCTAGCCCTAAGCAATAAGAACAGAGAATGACTTCAGTACTTGTTGGCACTAAGTAATGTTTCTCCTATACATAAACACTTTAAAATACTGTAGGCTTAAGTGGTGCTCCAAGATCATAAATGGATCAGCACCCTTGATGTTAATGTAACTTTTCTGTTTTACATTTTATAAATTTGCACTTTGATATCAGGTCTATTCATAAAGCAGACAACTTTGCTAGAATTATTATGTCTCTAATCCCTCATGATACAATTTTACAAAGCTAGGGAATTAATAACTAACAACTGTACATGTATAAAATATTACTATGTTGTTCTATGGAAGTGCACTTAACTTACACCTTGGAATGCGATCAAGAAGCAACCAGTGGAATGCACTATATACAGAAAAGAAATTCAGATTCCAAAGAGTCAGGATATCTCCGGCCAATACAAATAAATAACTGTTGTGAACAAAATACATAACTTGTATGTATGGGGTGCCTGTGGCCCTCCAAAATCTTATTCCTGCTTGCTGCTCTCACTCTGTACACCCCTATTTCTAATCAAGAAAAGGATGGACAATATACTTGTACTCCATCTTAGCAGCCAATCAGAATCTTATCTTACTACTTTATGTAAAATTTGTTCATTGGATGTTTAGGGCTTCATCCTCTCAGGCTCTGGTTCTCAACCAGGGCTTTGCGTACCCCAGAGGGTACGCAGAGGTCTTCCAGGGTGTAGGTCAACTCATCTAGATAGTTGCCTAGTTTTACAACAGGCTACATGAAAAGTGCTAGCAAAGCCAGTCCAAACTAAAATTTCATACTGACAATGACTTGTTGCTACTGCTGTATATATTATATCAGTGTTTCTCAACCTGGGGCTCACGATTTATTTTATAATTATGTCGTAAAAATGAGAAAGTAAGCATTTTTTCAGTAATAGTGCACTGTGACACTTCTGTATTTTTAGGTCTGATTTTGTAAGCAAGTAGTTTAAGTGAGGTGAAACTTGGGGTATGCAAGATAAAACAGACTCAGAAAGGGGTACAGTAGTCTGGAAAGGTCTCTGAGAATCACTGCTCTAAGGTGCTGAGAACTGTAAGCTCTCACTTAAGTCAGGGGCAACTGTGGGCACTCAGGACCTTGCAGGATCTAGCCCTTAATGTTTAAGTCAAGCCAACCTACAAGCCTCAGACTTCTTGACTCTTAAATCCCATATGAAGCTGTCTATAGTGCAAATTAATATAATACACAATGTTATGTCTTTGACACTTGTGATGAAAAATGTCTTAAACAGAGCCTGAAAAAGAAAATCACCTCCTTTCAACTGGCAAGGTTCACTACCCAAAATTTTGCCCTTTGCTGCAGTTGGGTTAGTGCCTATAATAAAGACTGCCCTAAAAATGTTTACTTATATACACAGCATATCATTAAGAGATAAAAAAATACCAGCTAAATAATGTTTGTTACTCTTTACCATAGAATCTCTGGCATAGTCTTTGCTTTTTATCTGAAGCCTTGTAATTACATGTGGGTGTCTCCTAGCTGAGGGGAAACAAATAACGCAAGTTTATGCAAGCTTTTAAGACAAATTACATGGCATAGGGTAGCAATGCAGGGATTTTAGCATACAGGCTGTACCCTACCTTTATTATAAAGCTCCCTCTTATAACACTAACTGATAAGGGGCCACTCTACATTGGTTCTCAACTGCATTCAACCAGATAAATGCTCTCAATTCAGATTCCTCTGTAATGCATAAAATAGAGTTTATCAGGGCAGAAGGCGTGTCCTGAGATGTAAACTACTACTAACGCCTGGTTTTATGTTCGTTCCAATATACTGAGTTTTAAAATTTTGATCATGTAGAACAGAAAAATCTTAATTACAGAAATAATTAAAGCCACTGGAAAAAGGGAAAACTATGCACAAGCTTAAACTTTCAAGGGTATGGGATAAGTAATGAAGTACAACTAAATGGGTTAATTTAAATACATACTTATTTAATATATGTTAGCCAAATATTATGCCCACAAAACCTGAACACAGAATTCACATGATAAAAAGAATCAAAAAATATGATTGAGTCTCACAGATATTCAAGACCTATTTCTTGCAAAAGCTAGAAGTGTATATTACCCATCTTCAACGCTCATTTCACTGACAAAATCCACAATGATTGGAAAGTTTCCTCCACTTTCCTCTGAATCATATCGCCAAGGCATTTCCTTTATGCCAGTAAAAACTTGTAATTTTACAGTACAAGCAAAACATAGCGCATCATTCCACTGGACAGACATGTCAGGGTTCCCGCCACAGTGTAGGCCTGAGACCTGATCATTCCCCTCCTCCCCAGCCTTGGATGAAACTCAATAGGTTAAAGTAGCATGAAAACCCCATGCAAAAGCCGATCACATGGGAGGGGAGGTTACATTCCTTCCTTTACATTGTAACATGCAGGATAAAATAATTCATACTGAGCAGTAAGCCAACAAAAGTCTGGAAATAGTGTGCTATTGAAAACTGAGGATTTTATTATTAGGGGAAGAGGGAGAGATGGGCTCTGCACCCTCTCCCAGTGACCACGTTCACAGCGGGCAGTGTGTAGATACACCAACTTTCCCAAGCAGTGCAGAAGCAGCATGCAGCTGGGGCAGGGGAGGCAAAGGCACCTGACAGCAGGAGCAGACTGTTCTGACAACTGGGCACCTACCGTCACTTTCAGTAAAGCCACAGCGGCTCCTCCCCACACCAGCTGCAACCCGTCCCCGAGGGACCGGAATTTATTACACACCCAGGTCCTCCCTGGGCCCCCTCAACGCCCTGGAACTCCCAAGGCAACACACAGCTCCGCCCTTCACCGCCCGTCCTGCCTGCCTGCACCCCCCCCCCATTTCACCTCCAGCCCCCAGGCTCCATGGCCACCTCCCT